TTTCTTGCTCAGTCCTTCTTGGTTTAGCTTATGGTTTAAATTTCGACAGTTCATTTAGGCCACTTTTAGAATAATTAAAGTTTTCAATCTTCGCACATTTCACTAAAGTTGTTTCAAACAAATTTCCTAATTTAAATGCTTCCAGCTTCACAATTGCCTGACACTTCCTTGCATTTGTAAGTTTCATGGAGTTTTCTGATTTGAGGATAGGATAAATGACTCAGATGAATGAATGAACCCTTTGTTTCTTCATTTGAACTGTTTGTTTTAGATGATCTCACTGAAGTGAGCAACAAAATAAAATTTTATTGGTTTTTGCTATTTTCGTATTTTAATTTTTGTCTAAAATAACGCGTTGATCAGATATTAATACTAATATGAATACTATTAAAACGGAGCGAGTCGACCGAACATTACATCCACAACTGATTGAACGGCTAAACAATTGCACACTGGATTACTGCTGTATAAAAACTCACTGAATCACTAGTAAACAGCCACGAACATACAAACACTAGACAACACAAACTTGAATGACCGATTCACCGAAGCAAACCTATATAAACTGCGCTGTACACAAATTTTCACAATGCAAAAGCAATTAAATTTGTCACCAGATCTAATCATTTTTTGAAAGACTTTCAACTTTTTACAATACTTGCACTTCATGTACGTGATGAGTTACACCTATTGACGTAGAGCCTTTGTTTTACGTAGAATATTTGTTTCCAAATAATTCTTACCGATTTCAATCAACTCTTTTTCAGCTCTTTAATATTTTTTTGTCAGAGTTTTTTTTAATTATTTGCAATTTTAATTCAGCCTAGAAGGGCTAGGTCACAAATTTTAATCAAATTTGAAGAATTAGTTCGATGTCTTGAAAGATGCATCTAAAGTGTCGAATCTCTGTCAACAACGAATGCTGCAATTAAAAATTAAAATTTATTTTTGAGGATTTTTGCAAACATTTTGTTTAAAAAATAAAACATAGCATAATGAATAACAAAAGCTAAAATAAACATGTTTATCTGTTGTCATTCAGTGGCAGAGGCCAGAGCTGAAATGTGTATTTGAACTGATGTTTATTGCAAGCACTGACTTCATCCTTAATGAATGAGTCCGCTTATCGCTCATTTTACGTTTTCTCTGTTGGCTTTCGTTTAGTTTATTTGTTGCATTGCTCTGCTGTTGCACTGTTTAATACCTTGAACATATTTGTGTAACATCATCTTTATAATATTTGTAAATTATATTTCATATAATTACCTATGATTAAGTATTCTTTGATTTTCTATTCTTTGCTTATAGCGTGACTTTTACGATCCTATATAAATTTTTAACACGTGGTCAGTTTTATTATTGTGTGTTAATAGTTTGGTATTTGTACCTGGAATTTGATTTTTTCTATTTTAGGTTGGTTATTCATTTATTAATGATTTCCGTAATATGTCATATTGTTTTAATTGATTTTTTTTATTACTATGTTCTTTATTCGCCTATTTGGAAATTCTATTTTAGATAAGTAAATGAAGTCCTCGAAAGCAAACTTATATATTTAAAAATTTCCCATGCCTGATTGTGTGCAACAATTAGTCGTGCTTATGTATGATTGCAATGAATTAACTCAGGTTGGGAAATAAAGTATATATCATATAAAAAGCACACCCACACACAAACGAACATGGAAGTGAGAAATTAGCCATGCACAATGGAGAATTTTCAATTAACAATGCAGGTCTTCCTATCTGCTGCAGCGTTATAATATATGGTGGCGTCCCAACGCACACCTCCAGATCCTAACCTACACCAGCCAGCTTTCAAAGCCCACATCAATTGCAATTTTGATGACAATTTGTATTACAGATAACTGTACAAAACTAAAAATACGATTAAAAAATGAATTTACCTTAATCTATTTTCGTAATTCACTTTGTTTCGAATTGAGAAAATTTTGAAATGAAATAAACAAATCTAAATTTAATTGAATAAATTTATAGTATATCTCAATTCAAATAATTTGTGAAATAAAATATCCCACAAATTACACGATAATGAAGATTGCAGTTCAGCCATAGAATTCAATTTATAGCTCAACTCCCTCTGAATTTTTTTTTCTTCAGCTAATGAGAAAATAATTAATGATTTCAAATTGGTTCCAAACGAAACGAGAAATTTTTTTGCTGAAATTAAGTTTTTAAAAATCCTGCTAATTCGCTGGGCAAAAATGTTCGTTATCTATTTGTACCTATTATTCATCTGTCTAGATTTAATCTGGTTAATACACGCATGTATAAAATAGTTTAATTACTAATGAAATAATTTCATATAGGATAAAATTTTTATTATCTTTTTATTTGAATTGAAAATTCAAATAAAATCTAATAAAAAATTTAAATAAAAAAATGAAATCTAATGAAGTCGACATCATAGCGGTAGTCGTAATGATGGCGTACGAGCGAATCTTCGTAGAGACCAGTTGCTAATAAGATCTCCATGGCAACCGACAAACCAATGAGAGGCCATCTTGGATGTCACGTGACTGGCATCTTCATTTGCGGACAATCATGTTACAATCATTTTTGCCAGATAAGAATGTTGACCAGCATAAAAGAAATATATCGCAGTAGTTGTAGTAGTAGTGGTGGCTATAGTAGTAATAGTAGTAGCTGTAGTTGTAGTTGTAGTAGTACTAGTAGAAATTGTTGTAGTAGCATTTGTAGTATAAGTAGTAATTGAGAAGCATAGAAAATGGAATAATAATTTAAAAACGAATGAATAAAATAATTACGTGACTAGTTAATGACTTAGTGCGTAAGTTATGTGTTTGATAAGGGAAAATAATGTTTAAGGAGTAAGAATTTGAAGCATTGTAAGCACGGCCTATATAAAGCAATAATTTGAATGAACGAACAAAAAAAATAATTAATTAATTGATTAGTTATTGATTAAGTAAATAAGTTAAGTGTTTGTCATGATTATGTTGATTGAAAGACGACTTATTTGTTAAGTTTACGTTTGACGAAGGTTGTATGTAGTTGTTTTGAATGATGTTAGTAGAGGATGGATGACGTGGTTGTTGTTATTTTCCTTTTTTCTTGGACAGTCTTGATTAGAGTGTCTTGAATATTTGAGTGACGGTAAGATATGATGCAGGTAGATGGTTAAGGAAAATTCGTTTCACGAAAAATCCGCGATTTTAACTTAAGTACGTGGTTTTATTCAATTTTAGCAAGATTCTAAAAGTCGAACACGTAGTTTTATTTAACTTTTGCTCGCGATTTTTAACGAGTGAATGTATTTATTATGTGGTTGCAACACGCAATCAACCAATTCGGACTGGCTTTGAGCAGAAATTATTTTTTGTTCCCAGTTCCCTCCCAATTTATTTGTCATTCCCGATTCGTTCCCGTTTTTCCATTTACGATAAACTTTCTTAAAATTTAAATTCTTTATTTTTTAACTCATTATCACGTTTTCCTTCGTTTTCCCTTCAAAAATTTGAAAACGAAAGAAAAAATTGAAAAAAACAAAATTATCTACAGTTAATTATCAAACAAATTAAATTCCAAAATCTCTAAAAAGTATCAAAATGACAATAACAAATTGTAATTTATAAATATTCAGCAAATTTCTAATGAAAGAATGTGCGTATGTGTGTGTATGTGTTTACCATGTGTTTGTGCAAATATATTTTTTCATAGCTCCATTACCTGAATTACGTCAACACGTGCATTGCAGTAGTCACGTGCTTCGCAGATAGCACGTGCATCACAGTTAACACGTGCTTCGCAGATACCACGTGCATCACAGCTTACACGTGCTTCGCCAATTTCACGTGCGTTGCAATCGACATCATCCGCAGGTGAGTTCGCTGGAATAATAATTTCCGACTCTTGTGCAGTCGTTTAAGTTAAAGTCTCTTCGATTGCTTCTTTGCTAGATGATATTCCCTCATTGGCCGCTCGTAATTCGACCCCAAAAATTTTATTTCATCTTTTATTTCTGTCGATTGTTCTTCCATTTTGGCATCCATTTTGGCAATCATCATTTGCATCATTTTATCGAACAGCTGCATGAATGGTTGCATGTCGAATGCGAACGAATTCCTGTTGCTATAATTTGAACCTTGTTCGTTTTTCTGTATGTCTGTTGTCCATTGAGTGCTGCTCGAACGGGTGACCTGATCAGCCTCTGTAGCTTTTCTTTTCGACATCTTCTCGTCTCTTCGGAATCCCACTTCTGACAACAATGTAATAACCGACCCCTTGAGCTTTACAATACGGCGTACCATAGATAATTATTGTCATAATTATGGAGCGCTGTATTTATAACAATATATAGTGAAACATATATACCTGAGTGTAATGGAAATGGTTCCATTACATGGTCACGTGGTCTAGTTACTAGCACAAAGCACGCGTGCCTACCTAGGGGAGAGCGCCGTATGGTCACGTGGGTTGGTTACTAGACCAAAGTACAAGCGCTTACCTAGGAGAGAGCACCGTGCAAGTCTATAAATAACCTGCGCAAATAAGTTAATGCTCTCTTTCTTTTCTGCGGCTCTTGTGCCGGAGTCGACGTTAGTAAAGTTGGTTATTGTATCGTTGCATTTTCGTTAATTTGATTTATTCGATTAATTATTTAGTTAGATTTTAATAAAGGAGGATTAATAACATATCTGTCGTTGCGTTTAGTTAATATCGAACCCGTTACACCTGAGCGTTTAGTAAATGAAGAAAAACCTAGAAAAATTATCACAGTTAAATACGAAAACAAATATATCTATGGAGGTTGTGAAATCAGTGAATGAAGGTTAATATATATAAAGCGGAAAGAAGTGAAATTAGCTTAAAAGATATCCAAGTCGATAATTAATATTTCGGATGAAAATAGAGTATCCGTACATGGTAAGCATATACAGTAGCGTATACTTTATTGCAGTTGTACTGTAATTGTATAATCTGAATTTATAATTATTGCAAAGTTTGATAGAATTGAAAATGAAGAAAAATGAAGACGACTTAGAAAATAAAGATGGGTCAACAGCAAAACAAATTGTATTAATTTCAAAAACAGGTGGTCGTCATCAAGTTGAGAGAAACATTTTTCATCAGACCAGTGGTTATTTTCAAAAATTATTAAAAAGCGAAATGAAAGATGCTAATTGTAGAGAGCTTTCGTTGAAATGTTTAACGAATGAATCCTTAATAGAAGTAAGGAATTGTTTATCAAAGTTGTCAAGCAACGAGATGGAAAGCCTGAAGTCGTTGAGTGAAGTAGAAGCAGGGTTGGATGGTGCTTACTATTTACTAATCAATGATATGATTGATAGCTACATTGATTTGTTAATGAAACATTTGAACAAGTCAACATGTATTCATATTTTGGACATAGCAGACAAATACGTTTTAATTAACCAGGTGGTCGAAAAGGTTATTAAATATATGTTAAAAAATGTCAAAGAACTCTCAGAAAACTCTAAAATGTTATTATCACCTGAAGAAATGTTTCGCTTTGTAGGGAGCGAGATGGATGTTTTCAATTTCATAATCAAATGGATTTTGGAGGACCAGTCAAGAAAATGTTTTACAGAAAAATTGTTGACTGAAGTGAGGTACAGTCTAATGACACCAACTGAGATACAGAAATGTACTGCCATACTTCATGATCTGAATTTAAATATTAACTATGATAAAGACAATGATTCAAACATTTCTCGTACAGTTGGTTCGCTTTTTGTGATTGGAACGTATGGGGTATAAATTGAAATTTCTTCGTTATTACTTCCATAAATTTTCATCCGTTTTTTTATTTTTATTTCAGGACGTGGATTCAAATTGTTATAATTTTTTGCCAGTTTATGATTTTGTTGAAACTTGCAAGAACATCAGTGACAGAACTGGGCCATCAGCCACCGTGATAAATCCAACATGGAGGCAGGAACCACATTTGGTATTATCTCATATTAGGGCCTGTGTACTTGACAACTGTTTGTATCTGGTCGAAGAAAAATGGTTTATGCCTTATATCAATAGTGCAGTTCATTCGTACAATCCGGTAACTAAAGTCTGGTCTAAGGTTAGCAATTTCTATGAACATATACTCTCTAACTGTGCCGTGAAATTGAATAGAATTATTGATTCTTTTCAATAACTATTGTAAGGTTCTAATTGACTGACTTTATAAGAATGATGCTCAGTAGAATGATTACCTAAAATGATTAATAATTCTTTATTTTCCTATTTATTTATCTCTATTCAATTAAAAAATATGCCGTATAGAATTCATTCTTTGACACGCCTTAAATGCAACTTCTACTATACATCATTATTCATTGTTATAAATATATATATATATATATATATATATATATAGTTTCGTATGAATTCTACTGAGTCTATCATTGACTGTGCGAGTCAACAACATTAGTATAATGGTGTTAAGACCACTTCAACCACTTCACTATCGAGACGTTTCACAATGCATACATAGCTATCAAATCTCACTTGCAATCAACACATGCAACTCCAATAACCCGCCAAATTCTTGACAACAACACAAAAATAATTTATCCAAACACCAACACAATGCATCTAAAAATTGCAGAAGCTGACAACAAACAAACACAAAATAAACATCTAACAAAGAATAATAACATCTTTACTAACTCGACGCCTGATTACAAACTTCAATAACAGCTAAGAACATAGAAATGACAACAACAAGGATGAAAAATACGACACCAACTATTAACTTTGTGAAAGAACTATGCTCTGGTTAATGAACTTTGTTCTGTTTAAAGAAACTATATAAATCAACCTATACTGAATATGATCTATGAAAAATCGAAATAAAGCCTTATCTGCAAGATGAATTTCGATAAGAACAGTTTTATTAAATTTTCATGATGAACTTGGGTAATTCTATTTTCAATAAATTAAACGATTTCCAGAAAATTCTAATAAGGAATATTGAAAAAACAAACAAACAAACTTTAAATTGATTAATGCCAAAAATTCAGTAGAATTCATACAATACTGCATACATATATATATATATATATATATATATATATATATATATATTTATATATATATATATATATATATATATATCCATTTAATATTAAACATTTCAATATTAACTTAACAAATGATTAATTTTTCTACAAACAATTATCATCTCAAATATTCAGTGTTGCAGCATGCATATTCAGAGGCTTAATTTCTACCTGGGAGGACTAGATGGTCATCTTTATGCAGTTGCTGGTACCACATATGACCTCGTAGAAATTCCAACAGTTGAAAAATACATACCGAGCGAAAACCGATGGCATATGGTGGAACCTTTACCTCTAGCTCTCGAACATGTATCAGGTCTGATTATTTCATTTTATTTTTTATTTATTATATCATGATAGAGGCATCTAATTCAATTTCAACTGTAAAATTCTTGCTCAAATTATAATTAATTTCACGAATATTTATTTATATATATATACATATATATATATATATATATATATATATATATACAATATATATATATATATATATATATATATATAACTTTCTTTCTTTTTTCTTGTTTATTTTTTCTTGCACTTATTGTAGGCGCTTTTGAGATTTTATAAAAAAGCGATTTATAAATTTTCATTTAATAATATATATATGTATATATATTATATATATATACATATATATATATGTTGGAATGATACATCAATAGTTATACACTTTATATATACATATATATATCATAATATATATATATATATATATATATATATATATATATAGATATATATATATAATCGAAAAAACGAACTACAAACATATTAACATCGAACATTCGGTAGAATTCATAGAATATTGTAAAAGTTGTGGTCTTTTACCTAAATATATATAAATATATATATATATATATATATATATATATATATATATATATATATTTATAAACGTTGTAAACTCGTTTTTTCGATTTTTCTCACTAAAGTTAGTGAGTGAGTGAACTTTAGTGAGAAAAATCGAAAAAACGAACTACAAACAAATTAACGCCAAACATTCGGTAGAATTTATAGAATACCAGTATGACCCTTCTTACAACAAAAGGTTCTCGAGGGCTCCCATGTTGACGGCGCGTTGTTGCCATGTCATGACAAGCGTGGGATATAAAATTTTCGTCGTTGGAGGTCAATTCAAACACCCTGATATGGAGCCATTTGATGAATTTTATGAGGCAACGGTTTGTATGCTGAATTTTGTCGTTGTCACTGCTTTCATACATTTTGTTGTTTATTATTAAGTAAATAAGTAAGTTGTGTAATTTTATTCTAAGCATTTGAGCATTAATTTCAATTTTAAAAAAATAATTCAATCAACAAAGGATGGAGAGATGTATGATGCGGAAAGTGATCAGTGGTCATCCGTGGTGAAGCTGAAGTCGCCTGTTTGGAATTCACCATTCATCACCATCAACAACTGCCTTTACACCTTTCATCAAAATAAGTGGAATACATTTGTTCAAAAAATTAATCTGGCCAAGCTCTTGAATGAGAAAAAAACTTCAAATGATTCAAGTTTATCATCGATGCAAGACAGGAATGCTAATAATAACAATGGAGCAGAAAAGCAGAATTACCCTTGCGTTGATGCTCTCACTTACGATGACTGCCAATTATTGAAATGGTTACCTGCCGATGGCACATATCCATTTGATTGTCAATACGTTGGTGTTATGGTTACGTCGGATGTTTAAATTAGGTCACAAAGAGATTAATTTGATTCATTTTGCTAGTCATTTTGATTTTTTCATTTCACTGCAGAATAATAATTCAAATGTCATCTTTTCTTTTCATCCTTTGAATTTTTTTCATGAAAAATGCTTGCAAATATTTGTAGATATGTAGATATTGTCGATCTGACAAATATTTATTGTACCTAATTAAATTTAGATGAATATTTTTACAGTTCTCTGTCAGAAGCGTAAATCATTTCAGAAAGGTGTCAGGCAATTATCATTTGCAACTAAAATTATGCCTGAGATACGAATGTTGTTCAATTTAATATTGATGTTTCATCTATTTCAAGCGTTACATTGCAAATGATTTTTCTATCACATCAGTTTCAAACAGTGGCGGATTTACGTCAGTAAAAGTAATTGTTTTGCCGGAAAAAATGTTAACCAATAATCAATTGAACTACAAACATATTACGTGCTCATAAACGTAGATGAGTAAGATACTGCCAGGCATCTTAACCATGGAAGACAGACAATGGTCTGCATTGTTACACGAAACGTTGGTTATATGAAACGCTGGTGATTTCATCATCACTCGATCCAAAGTCTTTGTCGGTTGCCTCAAAGTTTTGTACGTCGTATGTTGTGTTGCTGTCAGTGTTTCCTTGATTCATTATTATCGCCATGTTTTTTGGATGTATTAAGTTTTCGAGTATCATGTGACTTTGTACCTGTCTGTTCTGTCATATGTTTTCGCTGGACCCCGCGTTGGCTCCGACTGAATGCCTTAATGATTTATTCATATTTTAAATATTTATTTACATTTTAATTATCAATTTATATTTTAAAAAATGCGTTTATACTTGAAACAAATAAATAACGCTATTTATTTAGGTTGTACTATTTATTGTGAGGTGTGGTGTCAGAATTTATCATTAAATTCATTACATTCAATCGCCTTTCACAGAATACAACAATCTATTATTCATTTTACTGAAACAGCGTAGTTCACAGAAACAAATTTAAATAAAAGGTTTAAAATAATTATATACAATACCACCTTTATATAAATCTTGTTTCCTGTAATAAATGGTGCAGAAAGGAATGAACATGAGACAGAATATTACTATCAACCAGCCAATGGCTTCTCCAAAAGGTAGAAGCCTGTAGAGCTTAATTTCAATAGAGGCCTTAGGTAAGGTTACACCACGGACCAGCATCAGAACGAGTAGGAGGTGTAGAAAGATGGATGTCACGTAAACAACTTTGTCCAGCGATGTGATTCTTTTGATGAGCACGAGAAAGACCAAGGTCCAGGCTAGAAGAAAACAAAGTGCCAACTGCCAGATTATTGTGCCAAAATTTTCCAAACCACATGCAACACCTCTTGACTTCATAGTGTTTGTGTGAAATATGTTTCGATGTTAGGGTTATGTTAAATTTCAATCGTACAAATGTATGTAGTTACTAAGTTATAGTTTGGTTTAAAGTTAAAAACAGTATGTTTTGTTATATTATTCGCAGCAAATTTCTTGTTAATGTTCTAGCGCTAAGTTTGTTTCCTCACTAGAAATATTTTTCACTTGGAATTAACAGATGAGATTTAGACATTTATTTCATTCCACTCAATAAAATCTTTTTTTGTTTCTGTATAACTTTTCCTTTTCGTTGAGACCAACTCTTAATTATTTCATTTAGCAGAATACAAACATTTCTGTCTATAGGAAATAAAGTCAATAGATGGGTTTTTATGATTATCATATAGCAGTCCTCCAACCAAATTGCTTTGCGATAGACAACAGTTTAGTTATTATTTGAGATTTTTTTGAATTTTTGTGAAAAATGTTTTAAAATACCAAGTAGTTTTTAAATCTCATCAATACAAAAGAACAGAGTTAAAATTTAATAAATGAAAACTGGTTCATATAATTTATTCAAAAAAAATAATTTAAAAAAACCAAACGAACATTCGATAGAGTTTAAATGTAACAAGCAAGAAATATATATTGAAATTTTTGTTAGAAGATTTAAAAAAGGAGAGAAACAAAAGTTCTGATTTAAAAAAATACCCTTTATAAACGAGTACCTATGTATATATACGTTCTTCTTTTCATACATTATTGCCATGGTGTTATCATTGATATCGTTTGATGAATTCATATTAATGGCATGTATTTAGGGGTACCAAATAACCTAATTAACATTACTGTGACATTCCTTCAACAATTAATAACATCGTTACAGACTTGAACAATCTTCTTTATTTATACACATGGTTAATACATGATATTGTATGTTTATGTTGACACACTTAAACACATTTTTGAAATAAAACCAATAGTAATTTTATTAAAATTTAACAAACGTACATTGTAAAAAAAAGTTGAAGTTTCAACTTTTGAATTAGGAAGATCATTAAAATCTAAAATTCATAAAAATTTATAACGCGAATGAAATTGTTTATATTGCATGTGAGTTTCTGGTAAATAATATTTAAAGAAATGAAAATATTTCATTTTGGTTGCTGTTATTTTATATTTAACATAGAACACAAACCCTATAAACTATTCATATTATTAAGTCTTAACGATATATTTTTTGGCGAGAATAAAATCCCAACAAATTAATGCAACGAATGCCGTAAATAAAAAAATAATCCAACCGGGCTTAAAACGATTTCAAAGTTATTTTCCATTTGCTAAAGATTTAAATCATGAAAAAAATTGTTAAATAAGTTAATGTATTCAATAAAAAAATAAAAGTTTGGCGTTTGTATTTTGTGATGTATGATTATGAATTACAAAGACTAAACACAATTTTTTTAGAAAATGGTGAGTGGGAAATTGAAAATGGTAGACATATCGAGAGATGGCAGATAGTGGGTTAAGTTTTGTCATCATTATTTTTGAAACATTTTGTAACGTCTATTGCTGTAGTTGACACTTGACTTGTGTGATCTGTACGTAATGTAAAATGCCTCTTGAATACTAAGAATGCTTTCGTGTGATTAAATGTAGTTTTAATGCATGAAATGCTTTATTCAAAATTATCGATTGTGTAAACTATTTTTTTACTGCATTAATGCTAGATAAAATCTAAAATTTATAATCTTTTTTAACAATGCATTTTATTTATAATAACTTTTAATTTTGCTGGGATCCTTATCACATTTTGTATCAGTATCTTAATTGAGTAATTACTTAAATAATTGATTAAGTATAACTAAGATAGCAGTTTTTATCTGTCAACTATCACATTTTAGTTTTGCCGATTTGTTCGCTTCACCATTTTTCAAATGTAGTGAACGGATGACACTATCGATATTGTAAAAAAATGAACGTAAACGAAAAAAAAGAACCTTTTACGACGACAAAACCAACAAACCAAACAATGAAACAAAATGAATGATTAAAAAATGCCTAATAAAAATATACAATATACACAATAAACTGTATATACTATGTATAACAATGACGTAATATCAAAACCAAAACAAATTATCAAATACGACTCCACAACTATTCCAAAACCACACTGTAAAACAAACAGCATTAAACATAATCCAACAAAAACACAATCCAACAACAGCAGCACTGCATACAATAGGTGTAGATATTTTTAGCCTGAAAACAATTTGCACGTGCGTTGGCAACATTATTTTCACAATGAAATGTATATTTTAACATACAAACCTTGAAATGAGCAAAACAGCAAAGATAAATTCAAAAATTCGGAGCACTTTTCAAGATTTTTTGAAGAACATCAAATACAACAAAAATGATGTATTTGAAACTGAAAATCAGAATCAAACATTGCAATACAGTAAATACTTCAAACCTTCGTCTTGGCGGCTTGAACCAATTTTAAGGAGAACAACACTGCAACATTCTTACAACAGGAAAGCCTCAAAATCCTTATTGTTAATGATAAGCGAAAGTAAGTGCGTAAACGGAAAAAAAAATAAAAAAACTTTCTAATACAACAACAAAAACACCAAACAACTAACAAACAACAAACAAACAACAAGTGCCAAAAAATTAAACAAACAACACACAAACAGACAAACAAACAACAGACAAACAACAATCAAACAAGCAACGAAGCAAACGAACAAACAAGCATAACGTTGCATTCAATTCAAACGCTCGACACTCTTCCAAGAGAGATCAACCCTCTCCATCATGCACATCTTACAGCAGGAACCACTACAGCGAACGCAATTTACGTTGTCCTCGACACACTTTTGCTGCGGTTGTTGTTGTTGCGGCTGTGGATTCTGTTGTTGTTTTTGATGTATGTGTGGTAATTGTTGGTTGAGGTTTATACTGAATGAAGACAATTCTTCAATTGAAGGGTTGTTATTTTGTTTCGTGTCTTTATTTACTTTGTTTATTTTCGCATACAGTGCAGTAGAGTTGTCATTGTTGTTGCTGTTATTGTTGATGTTGTTGTTGTTGTTGTTTCGGTTGTTGTTGTTGTTTCGGTTGTTGTTGTTGCTGCTGCAACTGTTTTTCCTATTGCATCTCGTTGCTGCGTCCTCGCCAATCTTTACGATGTTTGCCGCATCGGATCTGTTGAAGTTAGCGAGGCTGTAGCAACTCATGTTGTTGATGCCGTTGTCCTTGTTGTTAGTTTTGTCATAGTTGTTAATATTGTTGCTGATATTGTTGTTTATAATATCATTTTCGTTGCTAACGTTATCAAAGTTGGAGTTATTATTACCGTTAGAGATTTTGAAATTAATACTGTTGATGATATTGTTCAGACCGGCACTGCATGTTTTGTTGTAGCTTCTGTTTTTATTGATACTTACATTATTTATTTGACTGTGGTTGTTGCCATCGCTGCTCTTGCTGCTGCACATGTCGTTGTTGATGTTGTTCATGTTATCAGGATTCTCAATAACGTTGGCACATTGTTCAACTCGCCTGCCAACCGAACATTCTCGAAGATATGTTTTTAATCGGCAGCCACTGCAAGCCACTCCAACGACGCTACTGCTGCTTCCACTACAAACACTCGACGTTCTCCCCAAACTGACGCTGCCCCCTCGTGACGTCATTTCTACTGTTTCAGCTGCCAAGTTATTTATAGCGGCGTTGCTATTGTTTCGCGATCTGGAATACTGCAACGCTGAAGTCATTTGCAAATCTGAAAGCCTATTGGTCGAGTGAGGTATGACGTCAACAAATTGGGGTATCACGTGATTAACTGTCTGTGGCGGTGAAGGGTTGGCGATTTCTTGGCAGCAACGATGATGATGATGATGATAAAGAGAATGAGGATGATGATGCTGATGAAGAGATGATGATGATGAAGATAGTAGCATTGGCTGTGGCTGGGGTGGTGGTGGGGGAGGAACTGAGTGGTAGTCGACCAGTTTGTAGATGTTGTCGTCCGGTTGATCTGCAGTGCCTTTCACGTTGTTGTAACGGCGCTTCTCCATCCTGAGTTTGTTCGTTCGTTTGTTTCGTAGTTCAACACGTCACTATCTATATCATTCTTATCACTATCCTTCTTATCATCATCATCCTCATCATTTTTATCATCAAATCTTCATCGTCGTCATCATCATCATCATTATGCACAAACCTCCTCCTACACAAGCAGACGAGGGTGAGGAAAAAGAAGCCCAGACTGATCCCGATTATGACTCCAGTTGAGATGGCCAGCATGAGACCTGAGAGGTGTTGTTGTGTTGTGTTGTTGTTATTGTGATGTCGAGTTGTTATGGTACTGTGTTTGTCGTTGTTGTTGTTGCATTGTTTTACATTGTTTTGCTGTTGTTTTGTTGTGTTGTTGTATAGGTTGTTGTTTAGTAATTTTTATGCTGTTATTGCAGTGTTACTGTGTAATATTGTGTACGTCGTTGTTTGTTGTATATTTTTGTACGTCTCATGTAGTTGTTTTGTTTAAGTGAACGATTGTGACGGTTTTCGATGAGATGAGATATGAATGTTATTTGCTTCATCTGAATGTTCTTGCATATCTTTGCGATGTTTAATTAAAAAAATCTTTGTTAAAAGTGAAATAATTGTGCTGTCGCGGTATGTTCGAAACTCTGAGAAATGTTTGGTACAAATGTGCATAAATTGAATGGAAAAATGTGTTTGATGTGGTGGTATTATTAGCAGCAGGGTAGGTATGTTGGTTCTCTTCTCAGTAGTACAATACTTTTTTCTCTTCTTCAAGAATTAATGCAATGCTGGCTGGCGTGTGTAATTACTAACTAAATGTAGTTTACGTAATTGTTAGATCAGTAAAAATTAAGTTACTGAAAGAATGACTTAACGGCAGAAATAATTGAAATCAAGATATAAATGATTTAACAACGTTGACGCAATTATTTGGCAAATTGTTTTGTACGTTAGGA